TTGTACAAAACTCTTAAACAAAAAAAAAAGAATGCAAAGGTTAAAACTTGCGTAAATATTCAAATGAAAAAAAAACTCAAACAATACTCTAGCAAAAGTATATTTTTATTTACAATAACGAGCCAAAATGGCACAAATACAAAAGTTGGAAAAAGAAAAGATAAGCTAAACTGCTGCATCTCCGAAACCCGGAGGAAGAGAAGTATCCGCGCCCCAGGGGAAGTGGGTAGATCCGCCGAGGTCTTAACATTTTGGCCCTCGTCAGTTTGGCCCTCAACATCTTCGCCTTTCATTTCCTCTTCAGTTCCCGAAGTTTCAGAATCGGAACAGGAAGCATCAGGCTCTGCCGGAAGACCACTTTTAGTAGCTAACTCAAGCTTACGGGCCTCGGCAATTCCGACATCAAAGTCAATGATACCAGCTTTAGCCTCTTCCAAGTTTTTTCTCCTCGTGTTATACATAAAGTAAGTTTTCTCAACAACGAGGTAAGTCGCTCAGTGCTTAAGTTCTTTTTTGAGTTGGGTTACCTCGGTAGAAAGGTTTTCCTAGGCGGATCTAATAGATCTAAGGCTAACATCAAGGTCACAGACAGTTGAGCTAAAGATCCTATTATGCTCAATAGTTTTTCTATAGTTCTCCTCCAATTGGGCATGTTTCACCCCCACAACAGCAAGCTCTTCAGTTTTGGAGTTCAAGGCTGCCTCTAAGTTGGTCAATCTTTCAACGGAGGTAGCCTCGCGGTCAGTTACAGCAAGAATGGCATTATGTACTTCAGCCCATTTGGCCCTAGCTTCGTCAAATTTAACCCTCAGCGGGCCAATCTCTAGGCTAAGGGTTACCACTTCTTGCTTGTTTTGTTGCAAACGAGTCTCCAATACAATAGCCTCAACAACTTTGGCTTCCAATTCTGAGAGACGAGCGGTAGTTTTCTCCCGCTCGGCCAAAAGTTGGTCCCGTGAGGAGGTAAGTTCTTCCTTTTCCCGAATAAACCTTTGGAGGCCCTTGGAAGCAAGAAAGTTGGGCTACAGAGCAAGAAAGGAAAATTTAGGATATTTTCATGAAAAAGCAAAAGAAATAACAAAGGAAGTAAAGAATGTACCGCTGCGGGGTTGTGCATGGCATTGTTCAACAAGCACTCTCGAGAGAACCTATATCCCAATCTTTTTATAAAGCCAAAGGCTTCAGATGTTAGCAAATTCCACTGGCCGGGATAGCAAATTGCATTCGGTGGAGACCGAGAGAGTAAAGATCCTCCTTCTTTGCAGATCTTCTGGGGGGGAGCATAATTTTGCCCTAAATTCTCATAAACTGGGGACTGGGGGAAATGACACCCTCTTCTCGGGAAGATGCGACCGGTGGAGATAATGTAGCAGTTGATGGTGTGGGTGAAGATGGAGTTGAAGGGTGAGAAGTTGCTGCGACAAATGGAGACGACTTTCGGAGACGACTCGAGCGCATCATTATTTGCACTCTTATTTTTCCTCCAGCTGCAGAGGAACGCTTTCTTTTTAGTTGTTTGTTCTCCGGCCGATGACTCCGAGAAGAAGCACTTGAACCAGAGGTAGGCCCAGAGATGCTTGTCTGTGATAAAGCTTTTTGAAGCAGACTCGCCGCATCAGCAGGATCGGCCAAAATGTCCTCCTCGGAGATAATAACTGAGCCTTGGGGTAGACCTAAATTCAATAGAAGGAATGATTCACATAATTTTCTCATAAGAAAAGGTAAGTACATAACGAGTTAAACTTACCATGATATTTGGCCTTCCACCCGTATTTCAGGGACATCTCTTTCCACGAGTGGGTTTCAGGCGTGGTAACGTCCAAAATCTTTTGAACCCATTGGTTCAGGCCCTCAACTCTAGGGGGAACCCATCGAGCCGTTGAGGTAGGAAATAGAAGGAGAGTTAATAATGACGTGGAAAAGATCTTTAACAAGGAAAGAAACAGACTACATACTCACGAGTGTGGCTCCATAGTTCTGGGAAGAAAGAAGTCGAGACCGAGATGATGTCACTAGTGGCAACTGAAACAAACTGTTCCATCCACCCACGGTTGTTATCATCATCTATGATAGACAACAGCGCATGGTGGCCCTGCTTGCTGGAGTTGATCATCCCCACACGGAAGATCTTGAGGGAATAAAGGTTCATCACATGAGCTAAAGTTAGCTCCTCTCCCGTTTCCTGGCACATGCGCCGAAGGCAAGCAATCGTCCTCTATACGGAGGGACTCACCTGTGCCAAACACACTTGATATCGGAGGCAAAACTCCTCAATGACGGCATCAAGCTCTCCACTTAGAGAAAATGTCCCCAAAGTGAATGGATGCGTATAGAAGTACGTAAAACCCTTCTTGGGTAAGGTTACCCGCTCCGCCAGGTCAGGAGCGAAAATGGCTAGGTCCTGGCAATGACAGTCTTCCTTCACAACAGGAATGCTGGAAGGACGGATGAAAGAATGATATCTGCTAACGGCCCATGTACGAGGGCTAACAGAAAAAAATTTCTCTTCAAAGTCTTTTGTTGTAACAAGACTTCTAGGGATGATGGTGGCCACTATTGGAGAAGCAGAGTCCTCGGCTTTGTTCTTATTCTTTGAAGAACTAGTATACTTTGAAGAAGAAGCCATTATATGGAAGAATAAAAAGTTTTTTCGATTGAAGAGAGTTGAAGAAAGGCCGGAGAACATAATGCAAGTTGAATAAAGAGAGTTTTAGAGAGTTTAGACAGTTATGGAGTATGAATGAAAGAGGTTGATGCGTATAAGTAAAGGTTTAAGCATCTAAATTCGTGTCCATGATTACCTCGATAACCGGCAAAAGTTATGTTGAATCGTGGTATGACGCGTGTTCGGAACATTAAATGCGGAGAGACGTGCGTCTAATCAACCGTCAGAAGCTTTTCAGAAGGAATCATAGTAATTTCCGCCAAAAAGAGTGCTTCTACCAACTTCCTAGTGACACAAAGTTATGTCACCGAAAAGCAGGGGGACTATCTATATAGAGTAAAATATGTTATGTCATCTGACCGTCCAAAAGGACACATGGAACCTAAGGCGGGGGATAGCTAAAATCGAAGGCAATTGTCCCGCCTTCCATCGGAAAGAATAACGCTCATAAAGACGCAATAAATACCCTCCGCCCGATAGCATTTAATGAAGAATATTATACAGCATTTAGTGCGCTTCCCGTTACAGAGAGTTTGTCATTTATGCTCACCATTACACCTTCTTCAATGGCCCTCATAATTGACATTAAAGAAAGGCATGATCCTATGACCTCGTTCCCTAGGTGCAACTATAAATAGTGAGCTCTATTTATTATTGTAGAGGACACGAATTTTCTGGCAAACTTACGCTATAATCGATTAAAAACTTTATACAATTTTACTTTCTTCTTCTTTCGTTTTATCTCCGTTGTGCCCGTAAGCTCTGCCCCCCGAATTACTATTTTCGTGATTTTATTTTCATTTCAAGACTAAGTATTACATATTTCTTTAGTTATTTCATTATTTCATGATCAAATTAATTTACTTCTCTAGAAATCACGTATAAATTCAACTATATTGTTTTACGGATAAACAATTTTGCATCTAGTTTATTTTTGCAAGTACAACTTGGCATATTCTTAAAGTATTGTACATCTTTAGGATTACTTCACCTTTATATTCATCTTCTTTCTTCCTCTAAATAAAATTGATTAGCTTTTTCAAATATATATCATTATCACAACAAAAGCATGATGCCATTCAGTTCAACGTTCAACCAAACTCATTACAAGCCAAACGCCAATGTAAAAATACCCGAATTTCAGTTTATTCTTCGCATAAAATTCTGCGATAAATTCACTTCTAAAAAAAAAGAGACGATAAACCCAGATGAGATGAAATAAAAATACAAAAATGAAATATCGCGAGAATTTTCGATTGTCGCGATGTAGAGGACAGAAGCAAGCCAAGAATGAGCTGGCATAAACTCTCAACACTCGATCCAAACAAAGTTTTAGTAGGTCCCACTTCACGTGCCCACACGCCCCTATAGTTTGTTGACGTTTCGTGAAGCCACGTGGTAATAGGCCATAAGATCATAGACACGTATTCGATCATCTTGAATGGCTAAACTAGGGACCAGCACCAGGTGAATCGACCCCCCGGCCACAAGTCGCGACAAAAGTTTTGAAAACCCTCTTTAGTTGGGTGTTCTTTACTTACTAAGAGACAAAACGGTATTCCCGAAATGCCCCTTTGCCTTATTTTTGTCGTTGTCAAGGAAACTTACCATGCCCTCCTGTTTCCCGCTGGACACGTGGCTTCTAGAAAAGAAGAGAACAGCGTACGATCATCATCATCACGGTTAAAGAGCGATTTACTCAGGTGTGGGCAGATATTAAGTATTAACCCTCTGTTTGAATTTAAGTGAATTTATTTATTTTTAATTAATGATCTATTTTATAACTTGAAATGATTAATTTTTATAAAATATTTATAATTTTTAAATTTAAAGTAATTAAAATAATTATAAACAGCTTGTCCTTTTTTATTTCAAATCATTTTATTTTTTTTAGAAATAAGTTAAAATAACAATGTGTTCCTACAATAATTCGCAAGTATTTTTACACAAAAATATAAAATTGCGCAGAAAAAAAAAAGAGCTCGTCACACTTCATTTTGCAATTAGTAATGGTGGATTAAGAGAAAGTTCTCGAAACTTGAATTTAAGATGTCGTAATTCAAGCAACACTATAGTTATAAGTCACAATTCAAAACTTTAAATATATTGACATTACGACCATTATTTATAAATATTTTTCTCTTATAGTTACGTCAAAATAATAATTATAAGGTGGATCATGACTTCCAAATATCTGCAGGGGCAAAAATATAATTTATAAAAAGAAGTTGCAGAGAAAATTTGAGAAAGGAGAGAGAAGAGGGAAGAAGGAAGGACAATTTGGACTTTAGGGATAGAACCTTATCCATTAAACCCTTTATATAAAGCACAACAAACTCCTTTCACCAGTAAGCCCAAATCTATTTCTATTTTTTCAGAGAGAAATAGACGAAAAGAAAAGGAAAAAACAGTTTTCACGCAATACATATGCATTCATAAGAACTGAAGCAAAAACACAAAGAGAGCACACAATCAATGGCGGCATCAAAAAGCTATTTCGCAAGGGCGAACTACAGGTTCCTATCAAACGACAGGGACATTTCGGTAACTTCTGATACGATGTTTGAGCTTGACGAATCGGACGTGTGGAACTCGTCGGGTCGTTCATCGTCGCCGGAGTTCCGTAAGCCGAGTTCTAGAATTTCTCGGAAGCAGTCTGTATCAAAAAGTGACCGAACCAGTGCTGGAGTAACGGCGGCGGCTTCCTTGCCGGTAAACGTGCCGGACTGGTCGAAAATACTGAAGGATGAGTACAGAGAGAATCGGAGAAGTGACAGCGACGATGATTTTGACGGCGACGACGGTGAGAATCGAATTCCGCCGCACGAGTTTTTGGCGAGGCAGTTAGCGAGAACGAGAATTGCCTCCTTCTCGGTGCACGAAGGTGTTGGTAGGACTCTCAAAGGCAGAGATCTGAGTAGAGTCAGAAATGCTATTTTTGAAAAAACCGGATTTCAGGATTAATTTTGATCGATGATCGATCTAACAGATGAGAAATTACAATTACTACTACTATTACCTTTTTTTTTCAATTTCAAAACTTCCCCGAGACGTTTTGTTTTTTCTTTTTTCATTTTATTTTCCACTTATTTCTCCCTATTTTTGAGATGGTGAAGCGGTTACCGAGCTATTGTAATTCTAACGTTTTTCGAAATTTTGAGAGGAAATGAAGCCGAAAAAAAAAAACAGAAAATTTATTCTTATTTTTAGTTATTTTGATGCCTATAGTACTACTTTAATTTGTCCGATATTTTGGACGTTGAATAAATGCCACATATGCCAGTTGTAATAGTATTGTCTCTGTATTTCCATCAGTTTGAAAGTGAAAAGTTGAACTGAATAGCCGCTGAAAAGTAAATGCAACAAAAAGTAAAGTTTTTTCCTATTTAAATGGCGCCTTGGTGGGAATATGGTTGTTTTTTGTTTAGATTTTAGAAATGGGAGAAAAAGGGTAATGGCCTAATTAGGTCAATGATCGGTGGGGTCATTAGCAAAAGGATAAAAGTGGTCCAGTTCTTTTATACAAGAAAATTACAAATCCACCCCTTAAACTCCAATTTAGGTGTAATTAACTTTGTTTAGAATGATAATAATGGAACCTAATGATGATAACATGCAGGAAAGTTTATACAACAATAGTTCATTTTAGTGACCAAAAGGTTAAATTAATAGTTTGATTAATTTTTGATCGAGTTTGTTGAACAAAAACGCGTAATACTAATGAGATTAAGGCAATAAGAATATCTTATTGTGGTTTTTGGAATTAGTTATATATTCATATTAATTTCACATATAATTAAAAAAAATCACTTATTTTAGGTATATTTGTCACGACACTCATCTGTAGTGTGGGTCGTATATCTTGACCTAGGAGTAAATTGAGCACTTGAAAGTAGATTTTAGTGTGGCACATAAATAATTATAAATAAATTCAAGATTTGAAATTTCGTTTGAAATTCTACTACGATTTAGTTAATCTATAGGATTTTTTTAACATATATAAGGTGCGACAACTTGAAGTTACGGGATTCAGACGAACTTACAATTAATTTTTGTTGGAATTGATCTTCCTTTCTACTCTTCTTATAGCCATATTGGCGGATCAGGTTCTAATTAAATGTATCAAATCTTAATTTAAGCCTTAAGGGGAAATTTGAGGTTGCGTATTATCAATAATCTTATCCAAACTACTTCCCAAGTAATTAAGTTATCCAAATTCTTAATGGGAGTGAAATTATTTATTGCATTATTGTACTTCCTTCGGTCCCCTTTACTTCTTTTTTTGACCTTTTTTTATTGTCCACGATATTTGATTTTTTCAGATATCAAAAATAATTTTTTTTTTTTTAAATTACCCTTGGCATAAGAACCTATGAGTTTTTGATTGTATTTTTAATGAATAAATTAAAGTTATTATGATTAAATTTATAAATAAATAATGTTAAAAAGTAGATTACAAAACAAAAAAAACAATTAAAATAGACCGGGGAGTAAGTAACAGATATGCCTTCACTAGTAATGAAAATACCCAACTGGATTTGGTGCAAGAGCATAATAATCTTATAGGGATTAGGGAATAATCCTAATCTTAAAGTACAGTTTGTTAGCAGATGAAAATTATTTATATCAATTAATGACTCTTAACTACTAGACATAGGTGGCTACATCAGTGTCAAATCAAACTTCAAGTGCTTACTGCATTATGGTTGCTTTGCATTATGGTTGCTTTGCATTATTTATTTGTTTGCCCAATGGGACCATATTGTAAGTGCAATGCCCAACAGGTGTGACCTAAATTAAACAATTTCATATCAAGGCCATTACTTTGTTTATACCTTGATAAAACCTCCTTTCTTTTCCATAAATTAAGATAACAGCGTAGTTGTTTAGGAGAATTAAAGAGGCCTAGACGTGCTAGTAGGGTTACCTATTCTTTTGTTTTTGTTTAATAGAAGTAACAAAACAAATCAATGGTTCAAGAATTTTAAATCATTAATTAAAAAATTATTATAACTATTCATTAGTATTTGCTGTCTGATATCAAGATTTGAAATTTATGGATTCTAAATTTTATGATAGAAAAATTAGGTGTTAGTTACTAAATTCTGAATTTAATTTTTGTTACTTTCAATCATCACATATATGGGGTAACTCTTCTCAATAAAGCTTAGACAGATAAAAAGAATACAGCTAATATTTTTTGTTTATGCTGAAATTTAAATAATAAATTTTAAAATTTTTACTCATTTCATTAAGTAGGCCATGTGCTTGGGTACTTAATCAGAATATATTCTTTTAAGTTGCTTTTTTTGTTTCTCCCTCTTTCGTCGCACGGTGTGCTTTCTCACCACCTAATAATGATCAAATCACGATCATGGAATTGCCCAATTCTAATTTCATATACAAAACATAATCGAAATTAAGACTCCGAAACTTCTTTAGTTTCAGATGATGCGAATGCAATCTCATCTCGTGAGCTATACTATGTTACACAATAGATTTTACCAGTGAAGGTTGAAATGGCATTAGACAAAATTGCAATATGAATGAAACACGATGGGATGGTTATTTGGCTCATTCTACCTACATAATATGATCATGAAAATTAGCCTCGCTTTCAGGTCCCCCACACTTTCTTGTTTGAAAATGGAAAAAGAATAACTTGTGAGACATCCCAATAAGTTGCTTTCTTGAACAATCCACTTAACCTATACTCCTTCTTGAAATACAAATCAACTTTTTCTTGAGCTTAATTTGCACAAAAACTAAACATAAATATTCTTTACAAATGTCCTAAATAAATAATCCAAATACATATAGCCCTGCTAAGACTAAATTTCAAAAATGAACCAACATTAAATCCATAACACCAAGCAACTGGAGAGCAAGGAGAGCAACAAAGGCAATCGTGTCACTTTACCAACGAATATAACGGTATAGATGAGATATCTCTACCATTAACTTAAAATTTTTAGTTCAAAATTTAAAAATATTTTTTTTAATAGAAAGCGCTTTACTCCAAGGAGCGTACCAAACCTAAATAGTTTTTGGATACAAGCTAGTTAACTAAAAAAGCAAATGGTAATCTTGTCACTTTGGATATGCCAATGGCACAAGTTATTGGATATGCCAATGGTACAAGTTTGAAGCAAGAAGCTAGGCCAATGGGAAGTGGCAAAGTGTCAGTTTATTTTTCTTTTCCTTGGAAAATGTCGATCAATTTTGATTGGAAGAGAAATCATATTCATTTATTAACACAGAAAGGGGCACTTATTCTTTGCAGCGACGTATCCCCTCAACCATTATGGGTTAATAGTAAAAGTATGGGTATATTTGAAAAGACTTTTGTGAGAAAATGACTGCTCTTTTCTCATTTTCAAATTTGACCACTAAAATCAGAGAAGGAACGTTTAGTGCCATTATGTGCTCATTTGCGCAAAGCAAAATCCTACAACTAAAAAGGGAATATCCTAACCAGTGAGTAATACAAATACAATCTGTGTACTCAACACTCACTTCTTCCTATAACGTTTTACTCGTACTTGAAGAAACATACCAAAAGATATGCTACATTAATTAGTTTCTGTTAATTTATAAAAATAGATTATTTCTGATCTTTAAGAAATGTTCCTCTTAAATGTTAAAATTTGGATCTTCGAACCTTTTAACCTCAAAAAAATTCTATCATTCAGTAATCCGTTGAGTTTTTAAAAAGCAAAAGAAATCCACAGAGTAATGTTTAAATAATAAGTCTCTAGTTTTATTCGAATGAATGCGATCCATCTATATTTAATCAAAAATTTTGGAATGGTGGAGGAAGTACCATGTGAGTGAGCTATACTAAATTTGAACGGGTTAAAATGAGCTTAATCAAGGATCGGACCAAGACTAAATGGACTGATTCAAGATGAGTAAAATAATACTTAGGTCATAATATAACCAAACTTACTGTAACCAAGTTTTAGCTAAACTATTTGACTACGAAATAAAACTTTTTTCTATTATGGGTATATCTAAAATATCAAACAAAAGTTTCAAAAATATTTTGATAAACTTTCTTATGCGACCACCCATTAAAATATGACCCCCCCCCCCCCCCAAATAAACTTAGTATGCAATAACTATTCCAAAAATTAAATAATTAAATTTATGTGATTATGTGTTAAACTTAGTTAACAATAATATTTCTAGATGTAATTTCCGAGGGTGTGAAAAACGTCAGATATATCTGGTCAAATAGTTATAACAGTATGCAATAACTATTCCAAAAAGCATGAGTAATATTGTACAAGCATTTAATAACAATGAATAACAATAAATGACACTTAAGTAAATAGGAGGAATGGTTCACCCAATAAAGGATGAACTAGATGGTTGTTCCTCCTCACAATGATGAGTGACAGACAAATCCTTGAATGTTCGAATTATTCTCAGATCTGATGGAAAAAAATGAAATAATATAGACAAGAATCTTAGTGAAAATATGGTATTTGTATCTTACTAAGAGAGAGAATCTTTTTGTCAAAGTGTGTTATTACCGATGAATATCACATTCCTCATATTATGGTCTCTTTTTCTAATTATATGAGACATATTCCTAGTAAACTCAAATAGTACAAGTGTAGAGAATATCCACTAGAATATTCTCTTTAATATTCTATTTTGAAAACTAGTTGTTACAGCTTCATCAACGGTGCTCGACCTCGACCATTATTGACATCTCGATCACGGCTCTCGTCGACTCTTCGACTATGAGTCTTGTTGCTTCTTGTTCCACCTCAACTAACGACGGCTCGAGAATTCTTTTCTCAGTGTTATCTAATCTTAAATACTCCAAGGCAGATTTTGATCCATACAGTTAGTCCCTCCGCTTATTGAGGTTGGTCTCATGCGGTCTTGATGAGCGGACTCTGTTCATCGCGGTTGATATGATTGGACGAGCTGATCGGGTCGTGATGATTGAGGCAGGCTGGCAACATGGCCCTTCATAAGCACAAATTTTGGAGTTGTGCTTTTCACGAATCAAGGTGACGTTTGATCTCGTGCGTCATCATGACGCGTATTCCCGATACGTCGCTTCGTTTTGCGTAGGACTCATGATTCGTCCTTCCACTTCAATTTCGATGCCAGATAATGATGAACCAATTTCTTGGTTCTATCGCCTCAATTCCTATAAATAAGGATGTGAGGGTGTAATTCCAAACTTTACAAACTTCCTGCATCGAAACCCTATATCTTCTTCTTCATTTTCCATTGTTGTGCATCTTTTCCTTTTGTTCCAGCGATCCATATCATTTTTAATCCTTCGTTGTTTGATACCTCCCTCTCTTTCGTTATAAA